TAGGTGTTAGGTACCATCTCTTATTAAATTTAATAATTATAATAAATTAATATTTTATTAAATAATTTAGAATATTCTGGAAGAAAAGAATTGGCCCAGAGCGGGACTCTAAACAACCACTCACCACAACGGGATATAGTTAATCACTTATTCTGAACCAATTACGATGTGTAGATGACAAAAACAAACGTTTTCGAACTCTTTCTGAGACTATTTTCGTAATAAATGTTATAAACTTATGAATTTTATAAGGTATTTTTTGATTTTCATCGATATGTCCTTTATTTTCCCCCAAAAAATATGGTCACTGTAGGTATAATATAAGTCAATGCCCATATCGTGTATATTAATTGTCGTATTTATATCTCTCGTTCTTTGATATTTGTATTAGTTTACTTATTGAATCATTAAATTTACTTTTGTTTGTTTTATAATTAGAATGTCTCTTAATTTGATACCGAATCAGATCTCATACGCGTGTTTGTCCGCGAATCGATTAATTGACAAACTGGTGTCAGTCCTGACGAGCATCTGAACTTCGCAGTTCGGATCAACTAGCGGTTATCGCTCTCCTATGAAACTTTTTAAGATCGGATCTCTCGATTCGAAACTTTGGAGACAGATTTCGGTTATTCTGTGCCGATTAAGTGTTACCAGAGTACTACTTACTCCGTAACCCCGGCTACTCTCACACTGGTGTCACGGGAGTGGGGTGTGAATCTTAACAACTTGTAGTAATATCTCACAATTAATATAATATAATCAGAGATCTGATTCGGAAGTGATAAGTCGATAGTTGTTGACTTGACTCGAATCTGGAGAGATAATTATTTAAGATAATCTTTAAGTTAATAATAAGTTAACATAGAAATAAGTCAACATGGATAGGGATAGGGAAGAACCTCCGCGAGCTACGTTAGCTGGTAATCCAATAACGTTAGGCGGATTAGGTGGAATGATTCCCCTCTTGCCAGTCTATTCAGGGGACGCGAAAGGTCCGAAAGTATCCGAATTTTTCGATACGTTAGCGGATGTGACGAGAGTAGCAGCATGGTCGAAGGCCCAGATGCTGGCGGTAGCCAAGTTGAAGCTGACAGGCATTGCCAGGGAATTCGTGCGAAAAGATAAGCGCGTAAAGGAGGTGGAAGATTTTGAGGAATTTAAAAAAATAATGATGGAGCGTTTCGAAAAGATTCCCTACACTTATAGAATCCAGAAGTTCTACGCATGCGTCCAGGCTAGAGATGAGGACGTACAAACGTTCGCCGTACGACTTCAGGCCTTGGCCGAGGAGGTTGAGATTGAACATGAGGGCGCAAATAAGGCAGAAATAGAAGTCATAAAAAGAATTAAGGAGAAAGAGTTAGACGAAAGGTTAAAGGTTCAATTTATGAATGGAGTCGACATCAAAATACGACAACGTGTGATGTCGCGCGAACCCGAAACATTTGACCAGGCTCTAAAAATAGCAATAAATGAGGAGAATATCGAGCTCCTCACTTCTCAACCTTGAGGAATTTTAAGAGTAATAAAAGGGACTGAAGAACAATCTAGAAGAGAAAACCTAGATACAGACGAAATGCAAGAAATATTAAGGGATGATCATTTAGCGGAAATAGAACCTAATGCCGAAACCCAATTAGATAAAATGGCGGCTGCTATAAGCACTCTGCGGAATCAATTTAATACATTTATAAAAAAAATCGCAAGACGAGAAAAATAGGAATAGAGAACGAAGTGCACAATACTCCCGACCTAAAGAGAGAAATTTTAACGGAAATCGGCAACCAAACCCTAACTTCCGTCGAGAGACGTATAGAAATAATTATCGTTATGATTTAAATAATATGAATAGGGACGAGCCTAATAAAAATAATCGAGATAGGAATTCTTGGAAGGGTGCAATAAATAATATAGAAGAAACCAGGAGGCTATATCCGAGAAATTATCCTAGGGAAAGCAAAATACAATCCCGTTCCCAGGGAACGGATAGAAATTATAAAAAGAACAACTTCTGGAAGGGAAAGATAAATGCGGCGAGGGCAGGAAATAAACCTATCATACTTGTGTATATAAATAATATACCTATAAAGGTCCTAATCGATGAAGAGGCTACAAATACGCTTATATCAACCAGAATTGCACGAATCCTAGAAAATAAAGCTCCAGTACATTATACTGCGCCGCTAGAAATAGAGAATAGTTCCGGGAAA